TTTTTTTTTTTTTTTTTTTTTTTTTTTTTTTTTGTTGTTGTTTGCGTGTGTGTTAAAACCTGGACAGTTGAGAGCCTTCTTCTACACAGTGAACGCTGGAAACACGTTGTCGCAGAATATTAAAACCGGACCGAAAATGTAAATCTACAGAGAGAGAGAGAGAGAGTGTGTTGCACTTGTTGGGGGGGGGGGGACGTAAGCCTTTGTTTGGCCGGGGGGAGGAAGATAACCGAAATGTTGGCCCGAGGGAGATAACAGTAGGTACTGAGATGGACCTGCAGTTCCCAGAGTGTTGGTGATGGACCCTGCGAATGGGCGCCACTTTAAAACTTTCATATACCTCGGCGGTGATTGAGTGCCGTCATTTGAAATTTTTAAATTACTTTTATTTAGGTTTAAAAAAAAACAAAAAAAACAAACACTTTGGCGCCAAAAGAGGAACGCTTAAAAAAATAATAATAAAATTCAAGACTGGAAATTCGCATAAAAAGAAATATACAGTTTATTAGGATCAGTAATTTCTTCAAAAAGTTATGCTACTTTCGTTAATTTCCTCCTGCCAGATAAATTGAAGTGAACTGGCTAATATAAATTTCAGATTCTTTCTCGAATTTCCAAAAAGTTTCCAGAACATCCAATAAAGAAACAATTTAAGTTATACATCATAGACAAATGTAATTATACTTTTTAACTTTTTACAATTATATATATATTTGATTTATATATATCTTTGAAGTTGGCCAATTATAAAATCATTTTTCTTTTTAAAAAAATACATATTAAAATAAAAAAAAAAATTAATCTCACTGTCAACAGAGACCAAGTCACCGCAATAAGCCTAAAATTAGTTTGTTACGTCATATCATCACGACCACATAAATAGGCCAACACGCACTAGGAATGACGCACTTTGCATTTGGTTGAACAGTGTCTGGTTTACATCATGCTGACTGTGTCCTAACAACACCACGGCTAGATGCCCACCGACGGTTCCTTTGAGAGGCCCGCCCCTCGGGACCATACAGCTGTGCCATCCTCTGCTATCGTCCAGGAGGTGGGGGATCAGGTTTCAGGCGGCCTAGAGCAGGGGTTCTCAAACTTCCTAATGCCGCGACCCTTTAATACAGTTGCTCACGTTGTGGCGACCCCGAAATACACAATTATTTTCATTGCTGCTTCATACCTTTTGAGTGTGTGTGTTTTCCGATGGTCTTAGGCGACGCCCTGGGAAAGGGTCCTTCGACTCTCAAAGAGGTCGCGACTCACATAGGTCGAGAACCGCTGGCCTAGAGACTGCGCCGAAACGTCACGAAAAGATAAACACTATTAGTTGAATACCAGGAGGGGACGGTGATGGCGCCTTTCTGCGACAGACTCCAGTGTGGCACCCCGGGGGGGGGGGGGGGGGGGGGGGAGGTGGGCGTACAGGTCTGATTTATGACGCGCGTAATTAAAGGTGTTAGTCTGATAATGTGAGGGCTGAGTTATAGTGGTCCCTCCTATGTGGGACCCTTGCAAAAAATATTTCTCAAGCTATATTATATTGCTCCGCGAAAGCAAAGCTCAAAATTAGTTAACACAAATAAGTGACAAGCTATAGTAGATATACTCTGATACCAGATAAAATAGGAGCATGACTAGATGAGCCCCTGCCAACTCAATTAGATATAATGGGAGTTTGTCCAAATTGGGATGCTGCCAGGTATATTAGATATACATGTACTAGGAGTGTGACCTATTGGGCGGCTGCCAAGTATATTAGAAATTTTAAGAATGTGACCTATTGGGCTGCTGCCAAGTATATAAGATATTTTAGGAATGTGACGCCTTGGGCTGCTGCCGATTATAATAGATATTTTAGGAACGTGACGTCTTGGGCTGCTGCCAAGTATATTATATATTTTAGGAATGTAACGTCTTGGGCTGCTGCCAAGTNATATATATATATATATATATATATATATATATATATATATATATATATATATATATATATATATATATATAAGAATGAGATATACTGACGTAACTCCAAAGACCAGACAAGATTTAAGTGCGTTCGGATTCCTAAAAACAATCATAGTTATTTTCTATTATTTTACGGAAATCGAATAAAATTAAGTGCGCAAAAAAATATTTTAAATCCGCTTTTATTTTAGTAAAAGTTAAAGTTATATTATTATAAATTACAAGTACATTTAAAGTATCAACAAAGGAACTATTTTAAGCATTTTATATGTGTTTGAAAGTTATGAAAAAAACAACAACAACAAAAATCATGATCAAAGAATTATACCGTAATCACAATTATCGGGAAAACCCAAACATCAGTCGTTTTTAGTGCGTCTTTTAGTGCGCTGTTAATATTGCGAAATGATATTAAAAATTAATTTGTTCTAAAAAATCACGCAAATGACGTCATGGCGCGAATAGCCTAGTTCGCCAAAACTCTTAGGTTTCTTTAAATTTAATAACCGTGCTTGAAAAAACTGATAATGTATTTTCCCTTCTTAAAAGTAAAATTAATAAATACAATTGATTGCTTTTTAAATTGTCGATAAAAAACACACAATTTTTCTTTGTATATTTTTACATTTAAAAAGTT